TCTTCGCATAAAGGACCAACAACGTGTCGGCGCTGGCCGATACAGCCTTTGTCGCCGCGACGTGGAGTTACAGCCCGGAGACTGGGTGTTGGTGTGTACGCCCATTCGCCGCCACGGCATCAGCAAGAAACTGTTAGAATGTCGCCGTCGCAGTCGAAGTCGGCGTCAGGGTTGCCGCCGATGTCGTAGTCGGGATCGTCGTCGATGTCATCCTTCGAGTCGTCACCTGTGTCATCATCAGTGTCGCCGTCAGTCTCGTCGTCAAGATCGAAGACACTGTTGGTCGTCGAGGCCATAGTCAGGTTGATTGTTTACGTCGTAGCCGTGGTTTGTTTTTGGAGTCGTCGTTCGTTTCATCGTCGGCGTCGTCGTCGAAGTCGTCATAACGTTTTCGCCGAGGTCGTAGCCAGAAGCTTTGTCGAGTTCATAGTCCGGGTCGTTTTCGAGGCCATAGTTGAGGTTGTTATTGATGTCACAGTTAGAACGTGCCGCGGGCGTATATTTCGTTACCCCGCACCTCCACCAAAATATCGTGCACAAAAACGAACTTGATTAATAAAACCTAAAATTAACGTCTAATGCGGCTTGAATCAAAATGCGGCCGAGCTGGCGGATTTAGATTGCGTTGAGACAGCAGAAAACCGGGTGGCGATTTGGCGGCGTAACAGCAAGCGAAAGTTAGACTAACTCGACAAGACCCCGCGCAGCTCCTTATCTAATGTGCATCAGCACCACAAATACGGCCCTGAAAGTCAGATCGTCGAGCGTTCGTAATGAGAATGATCAGGCACTATTCGCAACTCCAGCGCGCCGCTCGCCCTCTCGCAGACGAGCGGAAAACCAGAGGAGCGGGGACGGCAGCGGCGGCGGCGGTGCGGAAACTGTGGCAGGGAGTGTCGGCCTTGATGCGTGAAGCCGTTGTAACAAAAAAAGTGAGCGCGTCCGAATAGAAATATTTGTGCTCGGCCTTGCATCAGCGTTGCACGAAGGGGCGGTATGTTTAATTTCATTAGGGACTTTTCGTATATTGCATACACTGCGGAAAACTCGTCGAGCAACGGTATGTCGAGCAATACACTTCGGGAATGTGTTCGCGGTCTAAGGTCCTTACAAGCTGAACAGGACCATTTATTCAAAGCACTTTCAAAAGACAGAATACGCGTACTGTATTTTCCGGACAGTAGTCCGTGGACTACACATGTTTAAATGTTGAAATTTGACCCGGTGTGGACTATCTACAAGTGCGGACTATACAAGCTTTTGCATTTTTCAAGATCGTTCAATGTGACAAGACGCGAAGAATTTTATGAGTAACAATAAAGTTTATTATTAGTTATTTATGTATGATACAAGCTTCTTTGCGAGCCAATACAGCAGGCATTGGTCACGGTGTGCTGTGTATGATAATTTTTACATTTGGACATAGGAACTAAGTGCGGACTATGTGCCGCGTGTGGACTATACACCGGGTGCTGACTATAGTATAGAAAATACGGTACTTGCTTTCAGGTAATTACAAAGAAAATAAAGAAATACTCGAAGTATTTTAGGCGCGTCTGTGTTAGCCAGCCGTTCGTGACGAGAGCTTAGAACGCGCAGTTTTGGCCAGTGGGGCTGCAACGTTGCAAGTAACACTGTACAAAAAATGTACGGTATATTAATATATTAATTTTTGATAGAGAAATAAATAAAACCTCTAAACAGGCTGATTATGTTAATAGGTAGTTTTAGCATAGCGTTACCGCAGGCTACCGTTGGCTACGGTGAGCACCGCAACGCTCCTGGCGCGCGCTGAAAATTGTGCTTCAAAGGTACAACGCGAGCTTCCGCTTGCAATGCTACACCGCACGGTAGCATGCGGTAACAAACTTCCTCTGAATAACCATAGAGAAGTCTGAGCACGTGTTGCAACATACTAAAGCCGAAACGGTGAGCAGCGAGCTGTGAGCCTGTGACACGAGTACATCAATACTGTGAACGTTGCTCTTCCAGAGCTTGACGGTCACCGTGAGCGGCTCACTTTTTAGAGCACTATTGGCCAGGCAAGGCCGCAAACACGATATCTTCATCACCCTCAAAAATATTTTGCCATAGTGACGTGGCCGGTGCCTAAAACGCGCTCGCCCACCACATAGCTTCGCAAGTTGAGGTTTCTCCAACTTTTAAATATCATGCATGCTCGTTTTCCTACCGTGCATCAACATCTCCGTCACTTGTAATATAATCCTGCTCTAACCGCTTCGCATTTGTAGACAAATAAATCATTTTTAGAGCACTGACCAGCGTCACCGAGCAGGCGCACGTGAAATCCTGGAGAATCTATCCCCGTCTCTTCCGCCATCTTGGAACTACCACCCCGCCACCTATAGGGCGTTGGAGTTGCGAATACAGAAGAAGAAAGTAGGGCGAAATAGTGAAAGTTACTTCCCGAGTAATAATAAACACGAATCTTCTAGAAGCCTGTGACCGAACGTTGCGTGCTCGGCCCTGCGCGCGATCCATCACTTTTAAAACGCATCGTCTCTTTGACAGTGACAGAACGACGACTGACTCAAGCAGCCATGCGAAGCTCCTTTTGTAAGCGAATGGGATCTAGGAGTTTCCGAGCTCGAACAAACAACAAGATTCTCGAGTTATCCGTAACATTCCAGTCATGTAAACAATCGAACCCCAGCCAGCGGCGTGGGAGTCGAGCACGCTGCTGACTCAGCTATTCGCACGTGGCGATATGCAAGTATCACCTTCAACCCGAGAGCTTGTTCTTGTTTTCCTCCCGTGGATAGAACATAACTCACGTAACGACACCCTTGTGAAAACCATCACTGCACTTCATATAATGGCTTATCCATACGAATCTTTTTTTGAAGCCCGAACATCGCAGGAATACACGCTGTAATTTTTTTTCTGTTTTAGCTGCCTGCTGTAAATGCACTATTCATGATAAATTTACAAAACGCGTCCCCCCCACCCCCAAACCGAAAAAGAAATTCTTCAAAATATGGAACTAAAGTTTGCCTTGAGAAAATATTCTTAGATATTATAAAGACCTCAAGTGCACACGCGAGCTGATAAGCAAACCCCGAGACTGGTTAAGGAAAAATAAAACTGTAAAGTCGAAGAACAAAATACTTGGGAGGGAAACGCCGAGTTTAAGTCCATTAGGTTCCTGTGACTCGACTCCAGCATTGATCCATAGAGTTATTATAATGTTCGCTAGAGGTTCAACTGGCGCTAGTGTCTATGCGACTTCCGTGACGCAAATTGAAGCAGACAGCAACCAGTCTACTTTTGCGGTGCTCCTGTGCATTCCTATGGGAAAACGCGCGTGCATTTTGTCTCTTCGCCGTAAAATAACATGAATAACGTTTATTATTTCGGTCGTACCGGATAGTATGTACCTTGATTAACATTGTAAAAGTGTAATTACTTTAGCTAGCGCATTTTTCTTCACTAGTGAGCGATGTTTAACTTCGCTACATTTCAATCCCAAACGTGTGTTCCGCAGCACGTGTGTAAAAATAAGCGACGATTCAGAGCAAAATTACAATCGAAAGGAATATGGAGTGTGTTCAAGGCTCGCCAGCATTCCGGTGACGCTTATATATTGATAATATGCCAGTCCTGTCACTATAAAAAAATGACCCCGTCGTGCATGAGCGGATAAAAACATTCAAAACGTAGAGAATAAAGTCCGTGGGCTATAAAAGTTGTCTCTTCGTATTGTTTTCTCTGCCGGGCAGCTCTTATCGGGCACTTGTTCTCAGAGATTTCGAGCGTGCGAGTGATATTTTGAACGTAGAACAAGCAGCTTCGCTCAGAGCAGAGAGAATAAAACGGTACTTACTTATTTAAAATAGGAATAGATTACGTGGCCTTCGATTAATTTTGATCGTATATGCACGTGTAGTTACTGATCCGGTGTTACTGCGTAGTTCTTGCCGTCTTTCTTAATTTCCAGATGTTCTTCGTTCGTTTGGCACGTATATCCCCCACGCTGAAAAGCGCCGACGTCGTGTTCGCGCTAACAGTGTCCGACAGTGCACATAAATACACGTACGAAGCTGTTTTAGCACCGTTTTTAATGCGATGAATTTGAAAGAAAAACACCGTAACTGACCAATTATTTCGTTGGCCTGACTGAGAAATGTTCCAAGCTACCTAGTACGTACAAATTATTCGGGATATTTTCTCTTATGATCGAGCGCAGAGAGAAAATGCACTCACTTTTTCCCATAGAAATGCATTACCGGAAGTCAATTTTCGACTGGTTGCTGTCTGCTTCAATTTGCGTCAGCACACTAGCGCCACTTAAACCTCTAGCGTACATTATAATAACTCTATGCATTGATCTCCTTACCACAGCCAATAGCTTGAAGTAAATCTCAGTTCTTTCCGGAGCAGAGATATTTTGGGTTATTGTTTTATTTTTTGAAGAAAGAAAAATACAAACGAAAATATGAACAAGATCCAACGCCAGTGGCAGAATTTTGAAGAATGTTTAGACGAGCCTGACTTCATCATATTATTGTGTTTTGCTAACAAAATGGAGTGGAGTGTGCTGGCTATACTTTGAATCAAATAGCGCGTTATTCTTAGCATCAAGTGTACATCAAGCATTTATGTAGTGGTTCTCCCTAGCAATGGGCTGGCTATGAACGCCACGGCGCTATTCGAGTCATCATTTGCTGAACTCTCCCCTCCTATAGCATAATACTCATAATGCCAGACTAAAAAAAGAAAAAAAAAAGAATCGGGCAGACGCTAACACAGTGAACGATTATTTAAACGATCGACATGCCTAACGACAGTTTAAAAAAAGGCAACAACCTACCCTTTTCTTTCTAAACTTATTCCACATTGCAACTTATGCTTATTCTCGCCTAAAAACAAAACAAAAAACGAGTTAAGAAACTAATATTTAATTGCCTCGGAAAAACAGAACGGATTTAAACTTGAACGCACGTTTACCCCAGCTTCGCCAAGACATTTTATATATTGCAAAATAACATTTATTACAAAATAAAATAAACGTACAAGAATTTTTTTTTTGGGGGGGGGGGGGGGGGTGGGGGGGGGGGAGGAGGAGATTGAACAGTCATGCCTCTAGCGGCACGCTTCAGCTGTGGGGACAACAAACCAAATTTTCTTCTTTGTTTTTGATCAACGATATCGAAGATGACGATTTGAAGACCGCTCCTCGTGCGACCAAATCACCGGTCAGGGCGAAGCGTTCGTTTCCAGGCCGTGCATGACGAGGTTCAATTTCTTTGTTATGCTGTGTTAGTAAACACCGGGCTGTGGGGACATCAACCTTGATAAAGCGCTCCCTATAGTTCGATATCCTGCCCATTAGCGGCCTGCTTAAAATGCAGGCGGCGGAACATTTGCGCGTGGTGCACATTCGATTTAAAATGAAGTTCAGGTCCAGATGTCTGACGTGGAGTCGCCGCCGGGGAACCTGAGCTCATGCGCGAGCACGGGCCCTTCTGGCTCTTCCCCGAAGTCGACCAGGAAGTGCTCGTCCACGGTCAAACCACCCACTTTGTTGTCCACGTCTATTCGCAGCATCATGGCGCCGTTCCTGTAAAAAAACGTTGCAACGTGTTTTCAGAAAAACAAAAAAACAAAGTGCCCGCCACACGAAAGCAGCAGACCAATTTTAGTTTGACGAGCTATAAAATGAGAGCGGATGTTGTCGCCTGGAAGGAAGAGGTACACGGCACAACGTAGTTAAGGCAAATATGTAAGGAAAATATTCGGCGAATAACCGTCGAACTTCGCCCGGCGACCCACTTGGTGCGCGCTGCAACAACCACTGTTCAGACACCACGAGCAAAGGGAAGGCGGGCGAGCCAAATCCGTCGCATTGTGCGCACCACAAAGTCCAGCCTTTGAAGTGAAAACGACCTCGACAACAGTGCTAGGAATCGGGCTAGCTGGTCGTTTTCCAGGCTTTAAATACACTGCGCCATGAAGGACTACGAAGGCCACTGGGATTAGGAAGTTGACAGAAGTAATCCTTCTCAGCTCAGTTAAAGAGGCGAAGGCAAGTTTTTCACGCAAAGTAAAAATAACAAGTTATGCAGCCATGGCTGATGCTCTCAAACAACCACTGTCCTCTTCACTACTAAGCATTTTAGCTATTAAAAAAACGTTGTTTTTTTTGAGGGGGGGGGGGGGGGGGGCAGTGATTGCCACGCACTGCACGAAATAATTTTTTGGCTTTTAGTTTCACATCAAAGCTTACAATTACTAGTTATAAAACGTAGCTCTGATTTCGACTACTCTGTTTCAAAATTGTCGCGCAAGCGTAGATTTGCAGACTAGAACAAAAAGAAGGTTCAAAAGAATAAGCTGCGTGCCATGCTGTATAAAACGAACTAATTAAAACGAGTTGAGATCTCAGGTCTTATTAAACGTTAAAAATTACTTCATGCACACGGGTTTTAATAACTGGATGGATATTTCCTGTCGACAGGACATACTAATGACACCGACTTGGTTTACCAGGTTGGTGTCAAATTTACAGCAATTCTTCGCAAGAAAGTGATACGACACACGCAGACAACTCGCTTTAACAGCTAGAGATTAATGTTTCATGTCGTGATGAACCTAATTGTAAAATCTGTATAGTAGACGAACTCTGTTTCCAGGGAGATTAATTTAACAAGATAATAACCTTTGCAAAACGAGATACGCTCTTCGAAAGTAACAGCGACAAACTAGATCGTCACACAGAACCTGTTTAAAAGTAAACATATTCGACAGAAAGTTTGATTAGGAAAAGGTTGATCATTCAATAAGTGTGACTTAGGTCACTTACCCTAGATACACTGGTACACTTAACTGCAGCTATGCTGAGTCAAAGTTACCACACTCTAGGGAGTATTCACTGGACGCAATATTTGTGGGTGCTGTTTAGAGCGCATGCTCAGAACGAGCTCACATCAATGGGCTGCTAAGACCGGCACTCTCGATGGTGCGGAATGCACGTTGCAAAAAAACTGTGGAAGCTCACCATCAGCACGCGCTCGGAATTCGCGCACAGAGATATGACCGCCAGTGAATATTCCCTTGTACAACGTCATGTGGCTGAGCAGTCAACGCTATGGGAACGCATGCGCTCGCGCATCTTGAATGCCCATTAAAGCTGTGCACGAGCAAGCTTTTAAAATAGCTGCCCGCGAATATAGTGTGGCAACTGCGGTTACACGTAACGGTAGTTAGGGGTCAATCAACTGCGGTTAAGGGTGGCAAAAAAACAACTACATCTAGGGTATAGGAACCGACGCTTACTTAACCCTTTCTTAGTTAGCCATCCAATTCTTCGTATATAGTCCGCCAATTCCTAAGGTTTTCTATCTCTGCGAACAGGAAGCGGACTGCAGTTTGCACTCACTCGTAGAGCTCCGGGTAAAACTGCTTGTCCCAGGCGCTGTACAGCGAAGTGGTGGCGTACAGCCTCTTCCCGTCCAGGCTGAGCTGCAGCATTTGCGCCGAACCACGTACGGGCTTGCCCTTGATGACGCGACGCGGGGGCTGCTCCTGGAAGACGTGCGAAGCCAAACAAAATATGGCGCACACACCAAAACCCTGCTTTTATGCGGAGGGAAAGTTCGTCTGCTTCTTGCGGAGGGGCGACGGTGACGTCAGAACGCTGAGCTCTGATTGGCTCTGATTGAACGGATAGTGGGTAGACGTCAATGATAGCTGCTTTGAGGTCCATCCACTGTCCTTCCAATTGGAGCCAATCAGAGCTCGGCGTTTTGACGTCACCGAAACCCCTTTTCAAGAAGCAGACGAACTTGCGCTCCGTATAGCTATCTACCTAAACCTCCTCGATTTACATGGAGAACCTGCGGAGTACATACCACGATTTCCGGGCCATAATCCGCGAGCAATATAGGCCTAAATGTTGAAATTTTGCGCGGTGCAAACTGAAGGTGCGGACTATACGTGGATTTTCATTGGCTAGCTATGATAGAACGTCATGGAATTTGTTAATAACAGATGTTGAAGGAGTATTTTTTTTTTATTCTCTAAGGTACGCTGCATACGACTTCTTTTTTACGTTCGCAATATTCACCCTGCGCGTACTAATGGCCGCATACAAAATACAAAACGGGAATATGAAACCATAAGGTACAAAGTACGAACTTTCTCACGTTCGCTTGCTCATTTTAAATACGCGACTTAATAGCGAGCAATAAAAAATGAAATAGTGTCACATTTTAATCAGCATCTCGCATTGCATATGTCACCAGAAGAACTGTACGTTGACCTTTCTGTAGCCTCGCCTTCCAGCGCGAGCTTTCTTCCTTTATAACACCTTGGCGTCTCGTTCGAGCCTGCACGCACAGCCAAAGCACAATTGAAAAAAAAAAAAGACGCCCTGCTTTTTTTGTTTTGTTTGTTTTGTCATTGATTATTATCGTGGAGATGTTTTGGTGGTTCCCTCTCACGGTTTCTATCTGTGATGTCACGACCAGGCTTTGCCTTGACATGACGTTACGAGTTGTGACCCTGGCTACTTATTAGTTTTGACTACAAGTTTGATGGCGTGGTTTAAAAAGCACAGTTGAAACTAGGAACAACCGACACCGTCGAAGTTGGCAGTATGACAATGATCTTATACCCATGGCTTGGTCAATTGTAGAAAGTAGGGTGCCTCGATGTGCGTCTGCCATAGGGTGAAGACACTCATTGTTGTATTGAAAACTGCCTGCGCGTCCCAAATGGGCCTTAAAATGGCGCCGAAGCACCGGGCAGAGCTAAGCACTCGCTCCGAGCGAGACCGAAGCGCTTGCACTGTGGGGACAGAAATGGATGAGATGCCGCCACTCAAAGACAGACGTGGCGAAAGTGTATGAGGGCTCCTTAGTAGAAAGCCGTTCACAGCGACGCTTTTGGTGGCGCACGTTGCACGTTAATGCCTTTTAAGCCCGATGATGCATAGTGATATGCCGCTTGTGATTTTGCAGTTGCGATATCGAGCACCACAGCTTGCACCACGCTTTTTGTTTTTCTGCAGGGGCGACGTCGCAAATGAGAAATCTCGAATGAAGTCATAGAAAGTGAATTGGGCACTACACGCGCCTTGTCACATTTATAAACGCCAGACAACATGAGACGCTGCAGGCCCGGAGTTGGCAGTGACGAGGTCTAAAGTTCTCATAATAGAAGCAGCTTGCAAAGTTCTTACGGGAAAAGAATGAGTAGTTACGAGCAGACTGGTAGAAGGCCTGAACAGGTGGTGAACACCACCTGAAGTGATTACGTTATCAGTCCCTGAAAAGACTTTGATGGGAGAAAACATATGCACTTCTTGGCACTGTATAAAGAACTCACAGGCCCTCCCATTTTCAGGGTTGCGGCTCCAAATCGAGCCTTCGGCACCCTGGTGTCACTCTTCATCAAGTCAATCAATGGTTAATTATAAAATCAAGAAACGTAGCTACAAAATGAAGTGACCACATGCAACAATAGTAGATATAACTGGCAACGTTGCCTACATGTGCGACGTTCCGGGGGCAAGGAAGAGCTCGCAAAATAATTACTTGTCCCGAGAACGTGGCCGAAAGCAAGTTACGCTCTTCCAGCCTGCCCTACGTGCGGGCGAGCGCCCGATGAATGCCAGCGCGGAATAGCATCCGACGGAAGTGTAGGGCTGTTGTCGAAGCGACCACACGGCTGTTCTCGACACGAGCCCTCCAGCGCCAAATTAGTCCTGCACCGGCGAGATCTGATCGCATCCGGTCATTGTGTACTACAATGCGTTCGACCCAAACACCGCCGCATGCCAGGTGAAAGCTTGAATACATCGCCTATAATGCTTGGTCAGCTGTCGGAAAGCACGAGATTTGCACACAACGAGGATTGGGTCCTAATGCATCTGTATACCAATCAGTTTTTCACGAACGCTCTGTAAGGGAAGTTCTAGTGCGATTGCAGCTATCAAACAATCACCGTATTATCAATAAATTAAACGAATCTTACGGAAGTCACTGACTACTCGAAACTGTACCCTCGGGCAACAACCTACTATGGCGATTTCGACAACGACAGTCCATTTGATCAAACATACCGGAAGTTCGTCATCGTGTATCACTTTGACTGGACCTCCCTTGTAGATGGACCCGCCAGTGAACACCTGTAACGCGTCACACAGTCTTCAAAGTGTGCCAAACAAGGCATTCAAATCAGAAGGGGGAGGGGGGGGAAGGAGGACAACAAAAGACCCAAAGTGTCTTTCAGTGTCTTCTCACTAACCATGGAAAGTAATATGCAGACTACCATAAAAACACTAGGGACACACTACTCATTTATGCAAGTGCCCCTTGAAAATCGAGTCGAACATAGCCCTTCAGTACGGTGGATGGTCACTCACAACACATCGAAAGGCCCTCAGGAGGCTATAGCAACAAGTTTTAAAAGTTATGGAAACATTAATCGTCTTTCGAACCACACAGACACTTTTCAACAGCTAAGTTAAGGTGCATTGGTAGACAACCGGCTGTCAATGGCCACATGAGGAATATTTTGATGTTGAAACTACGCGATACTAATTATAGCTTATATTGCAAGGAGCGAAAGTATGCAGGCGGGTTGGTTATGAAACATGGCGGACATGATGACACACGGATGGTGTATCGTCTTGTCCGTTCTTTTATTTCTCCTTGCCTCAGAGTTTAGATTATGATGAAGTTTGTAGTCGTCTACGAACCATAATGGCACGTGGTCCTGTTTAGTATGAATGGCCGATTTACAGTCAAAATGCCAGAGGAATAAACACAAAGTTCACAGTTTCTTAGCTACACCCGAAGAAGCACAACAGCAATCACTTCACCTGCCCGACGAGCTTGGGGTGTCTCGTGTCGGATATGTCGTACTGGCGGACATCGCCATGGATCCAACAAGCGATGTAGAGGAAACGGTCGTCCAGGGAAATCAGGATGTCCGTGATTACGGCTGGTGGCGAGGGAAGAACAAGTGGAACGAATCGAATATATTTTTTTTTACGACAAGGCAATATAAGCGAGAGCACGAAAACACATATTGGCGACGTGCGCGATCGAAAGCGTTGCTGTGGTCGGCCAGCCATGATTGGCCGAATGCTGACTATGACGTAAGGAAAGGATTTCTCATTGACGAAAATAAGAAGAATGTAAGAGCTTGAATTTTGATGGTGTTGACAGTGTCGCTTTGAGAGGGTAATGATTTCAAGCTTCTCCCATGCTCATTGCAAACACCATCGAACTTGTTGTTCGCAAGGTAATGACTTCACGAAAGGAAGCCACGGGAGGGCGCCACCAAAACATCTCGCCGCTAATAGGAAATATTTACTGGCGGCCACAGCTGAGTCTGTGGCTGCTGAGCACGTGCCAGCGGCGAGCTTCCAGTGATTTTGCAACGAGCATTTGACACCATCAAGATTGCCGGTCTTAGCAACTTCCAAACGTGAGCTTTTCTTGAACATGCGCTGTGAACAGCGCACTCAAATATGGCGTCCAGTGAATATACCCTAATTTAGCGTGCATTCGACACCGTCCCATTGAGATCAGTGACACCGTCCAGATTGGGGGGTCTCGAGGCGCCTAATAGTGTGAGCTTTTTCCTAGTATGCGCTCCAAATAACCCCCTGAAATATTACGTCCAGTGAATATTTTTCATACAATCAATAGGAAGAAGTAATCGATCGGAAGAAGTCCATATCTTCATTAGAGCATGTGAAATATGACTGCGTATGTACAGAATGTCAAGCGCTTTGCTATTTTGGATCGAAGCAGGCAAACGGGCAAGTGAGCGGCGCATACCAAGCTTTGCATTGCAGTTAGCGTTGAATAGTAAAACCAACACATACACAAAATTAAGAAAAAAAAAAATAAGAACGTTGTTTAGCATTTATACGACCGTCTTTAAGGTTTGGAACAAAAAACAGTAATATAGCCATAAACAAAATCTACAACGAATTGAAACGCATTATACTGCGACACCGCAGTCGCTTCAAGCAAACACGGATTGCCTTTCTGCCGTCGAAAATAAGAAAAAAGTCGGGCACCGAGAAGGGAACGGGAAGGGGAGGGGGGGGGGGGGGGGAAGGGCGGAATCCCATCTTGGGTTTACCGGGCATTTCGTCCAGGAGCCAACCTTGCACTTTTTTCGGGGGAATAGTGATAACCTTCTCGGCGTCCCAACATCCATCCTAGGTGAAAACAAAAATGATGAACATGAGCGTAATGCTTACGAAGAGGGAAAAACAAAAACAAGTTATTAAGGGCTGGCATTTCGAAAGTAGAAGGGAACGATATAATGTGCTTAAAAAGCAAGACGACCTGCGTGTTGTGTCATTATGGACGAACTAGCAACCCTAAGTTTTGAAAATACAGCAACTCTATTTGTGTTTTTTTGTTTTGAATTAAGCTTTTAAACCTCAAAATAAAACAAAGTATTTTTTATAGAAACGTGATTAGCTTAAAAAAATTTAGAAAGGATGGGTTTTTCTTTACTTGAGCGAGGCGGTTCTGAAGTTAAAATCGTGCGATGTCTGGTTGTTCCCCCTGGCGCAGAGCGCAACCTTGAACCATACATTTTCAAACTTAAAATAAGGCCCTCCTAGAACGATCGCCCGGTACTTGCATATAAAACACTAAAAATTATTGTATTCGGAAATGAAAAAATTAAGCAAAATCGATGAAGAGATCTTGGTGTTCGGACACCGCAGCAGTGCGAATTATTCGAACAACGTGAGCATCCACTGACATGTCTCGTTATTTACAGAAAAATCAAAGAATCCACTTGCAGTGCAAGTGATCCGAGAGAGCGCATTAAGCTTCAATTCAACACCGATGTTGCAAGTGATTCTCGAACAAGAACCAAATTAAACTATATAAAACTCCCGCTTCACATTAACTCCAAACCCAGACGGGAGCCTAGCGAGCAGCGCCAAAAGTCATCGTTACGGTGATTGAGGTCTTGTTTAGCCGTTTACAACAAAGAGCAGTCCAGGGTGTAAGATAGACAGGTGGGGAAACGAGAGCCAAATGAGCGACCGGATTGTGTCCCTTTCGGGTTTCTCTTTTTCTGTGGCGCCATCTATGTGGAGCACCGCGAACACTCACTCCGGGTGGGCGACCGGTGGCTACCGGCTAAACTGACGGAGATGATTTCTCGTGGATTTTCAATGAAGGAATGTCGTGCTCTCGGTTTATTTTGCGCACCCTCCCATAGTGTTCCATGCAAATCCCAATTCTGAATTTTTTTCCGCTCTCCGCAGCGCCATCTGTCGCAAATCGGGGGTACCCGCAAGCAGACGAGTACACAATCCGGTCACGGCGCTGCGGTAGGGTTCTATGGACCGTTTCCCCACCTGTCTATCTTACACCCTGGAGCAGTCACGCAAAGTCTGTGGTTGATTGAGATGGCGAAAGCAGACACCATGCACTTATTTAACGCTGCTTGATGGGCTCCATTGATTTATATATCCTTAAAGGCTTAGTGTGAAACGGAATATAAACAAACAACACGCCTGCAGCGTAAGATCTTCCTCTAGCGGAGTTTGAAACCCGCGACCGAGAAAACGCATGCGCATTGGGCCCTCCACGCTGTCACGCTATGCCGAGCCGGGAGAAGGCTGCACCGAGATACCGAATCCGCCGAGGCAGCAAAAACGGCTGTCTCCGCTGTCTCGGAAGACTATCCACGACGATAGACGGCGGCAGCCACCCCTCCCAATTCAGAGAGCAATTCGAGGCGCGGAGAGATGCGAGTTCTCTAGTATTTGGTAGAAATATGAGCGAGCTAATTCAGCTTTAACGCTTTCCTTCGCATTAACGTCGGCTTCTTCGAAGAGACTCACCGCGGTTTTGAAGAAGCGCCAGACCGTGCTGCCAATGGCGCAGCCCACGAAACCCTCGGAAGCCGCAGGATTGTGCAGGAAGCGAACCTCCAGGGGCATCAGGCCCTCCATGCCAAGATCTATCGTCTTCTGGATGCTCAGCTTGGGCCAATCCCAGACGACCAGACTCGTCCCGTATTTGCCTTTGAATACGGTGGAAAGACAAAAGAACTGACGGAAACAAATCGAAGGCAACCGACAGCGGCATTCCATTAACAGAAAATTACGGCGGCTTTGCTGAATGCGGAAAACTGGTCATACATTTGCATTGGACAGTGGTCTAGCAGCTCAGACCGCTATATATTTGAGTGTACGAATTTCAGTAGAATCAGACTTTCGGTCTTCACCTGCGACATCTGCATCTTTCACGCGAGTGCTTCTATTTTGGTTGGATCGTTAATAACACCGGCAGTGAAAAAAATTCACAGTTGTACTGGAGTTAACAGCATAGCTGCATATTCACCCCAACTCTAGAAAGGCGCAGGTTAACTTGCGTTGCATCCCCGAGAGTAAATTTTGCAACACGGGATATGTTACATAGCGTGAAGTTATAAAAGAGCGCCCCGAAGGAACTACCGCGAAGTCGACAACATTGGCTGTAGGAACATCACCGTGGTCAAATTTAGCCAAATAAGTAGCCAGTAATTAAAATATAGTAATGTACATTCCTACTATTATCAGAAGAACATACAAGTCCTCCCATTGTGCACTGTGCTATAGCTTTACAACTTAGAAGCATTTCATTTGCATTGCTGCCAACGTTAATCCAGTAGCAATTACTTTGCCTCTTTGAAATGCGCGTTACCTCGATTGAGGTGCGTTCAAGCGCGATTCAAGTATATTCCGGTTTAGGTAATACCCTGAAAAACGGCCTAAACAATCCGATGACCAGAAGGCCGTGAAGAAAGTGATGAACCCGGAGGTTCCGAATCTACGAGCAGTGTTTAAGGCGTCACGACTCGAGTGTTTCCGAATTTTTTCTTCGAGCAAGCAATAAAATTCGCAAGCATATATGTATAGACGACTAAATTGAGCAGTTCGTTGCGAGAGTATCTTAGAATTGAAAGAGGTGCATCAAGCCAGGCGCATTTATGAATAGAAAATGCAAACAGGAAGACGCCTTTTAAAGTTTTCGCAAGTTCAGCCAAAGTAGAAAGTGTAAAAAAAATCACGCTATTGCGTAAGTTTTACAACCAGGCACGCATCAACAAGGAAATAGCAAGTGCACACGCAACATTCCTCGTTTCCGACGCGAAGAGTCCTTCAAGCGCGCAAGTCTTTGTATAGGCCGCATTGTAAGTGAAATGTTGGCAACTCGCGAAAAAACTGTCGTAGACTGTTCGAACAGCGTCACTTTTTAGCGGCTTTTTTGAACCTGCCTATGCATTAAAGTCACCACAACACACCAACGCACTAATTCTGAAGTGTTCAAACGAGAAGCAGGAACATCCATTCAGTTAAAGCAGCTGCTGAAGAAAAATCTCACCAGCTGCAATGTCTTTGACATCGAATCCCTTCTTGAAGGCGGACGGGGCACCCCATTGGCTGCTGATCATCACGTTGTGCCTCGGTTGGTACCAGTAGTCGTAGCCGAAGTCTGCGTATTGGCACTCATTTTTGTAGACCGCGGGCAGCATCTCGAAGGTGCCGCCATCCAATATGAAGAAGCCACCTAGGGTGAAGTCAGAAAGGAGATGTCAGGCGTGAAGAGAAGAGTGGCAACGAGCATCCAGGCTGTTACGTTTCTAACACGACACCAACAATAAAACAGGGTAAGCGCCACTGAACTCTACATCCCGTCATTGATAGAACCGCACCGCTAAGATAAAGATTATGTACGTAACGACTTCTACTCCAGTGGACACACAAAAAAAAAAATGTTTGCCAATCACGTTTACAACTACGTGCGCATCTTGTTCAATAAATACTCCTGAATGCCAACAGGAAGCTGACCATAAAAATAATTATTCAAGAGCACGCCTTTATTTTTAAGGCGCGAGATTGGAACGCGTAAACAATAGACCTATTGCTAAATTACCTAAGCATCAAAGGGGATGCAGGGATTGGTGTTCCACGCGCCGCACGTGCTGGCCTCAGCAGTAGTAACTTTTCTAAAGCAAATGCCTAAAACAAATTGCATCTTGCACTCGCGTTCGTTAACGCTTTATTTTTGTTATTTACTTCGACTCTTTTATGCGGGGAATGCGTGCGTGTGTGGGGCATGGAACACCAATTTCTGCATTCTCCTTGGTGCTTGGGTCAAAAGGACAAGATCGGGCTTGTCCTCATGAGCGTGCTAGTCTCTCCACCTCAAGGTTATGGCGACGTTAAGTTTATGTCAAGGAATCTGTCCAAAACAAAATCAGGGATCGGTGCTCTTGCAATCACTTGCTAACTGTACCGAGGGCCTGAGCTTTGTGGTTTACCTTTGCCGTTGCCTTGGGGGTCTCCCATTGCGCTGATCATGATGTTTCCATTTGCCAGACAGTGCGGCGTTTGTGGGGTGGCAAGGCCTAGCTTGTGCAGTTCCTCGGGCTCCAGGACCTGGTCGAGGCATCGAATCAAATGCCAACAAAGCAGGCCTTCCAGCGGAAAGGACACCACTGTAACCCGCCAACTCTCACCCTCTCAGCTGAGAACATTAAAGGTCGAAGAAAATAGGACAACGGTGAAATTTAAAAAAAAAAAAGGAGCAACACAACACAAATCACAAACACCAAAAAGTGGTAGGTAAAGAAAAAGACTGTCACATGCAGGAATTAACTGTTCGCAAGCGAGCTAAGAACACGTTGGTTATTTCCTTTCGTACGTCACAGACACAAAAAAAAAAAAAAAAAAAAAAACGTTTACGAACTCTGGGTTGCACGTTAATAAAAAAGGTCTGGCTGCTCGGTAAGTGCTACTGCTACTCTGCCATACATAGAAATAGAAACAAAGAAGGATCGCAGCAGGAGGAGTTTGGAACATATTCCTTAGCTGCACTCCGGACAGAGGACAAAAGAGCTCGGATGTTGATGCGTATAAAACTGCATTTTTAGCAAATGTACTCGTTGGAGCGTTGTTCGGGCTCTCAGTAATAGGAGCAAGTGTTTAGGGAAGGCGGGCCTTCAGATCAGTAAGATGGAGTGGAAAGGGGAGAGGGAGCGTTCAGTAAAAAGGAAACGGCAAAGAGCTATTCAAACTAGGGAGAATAATATGGCCACGGTACTTAGTTTTAGTATAACTTCGCAAACTGAAAGCTACGTCTTTAAGCAAGGCAATGAAACTTGCACTGTCATGTGGGGAGCAACTGACAATGTAATCTGCCTCTAGAGCTAACCAGGTGGCACCACCACTCTTTCCATATCAGAGCTGTCTTACGCACATTATGGTCGCTAAATTCGCTGAACGCGGCACAACACGTATTTTGAAATATTAGCCATGGAGGCTTATTGGCGCTTCACGCTAAAGTATGATGAAAAGTACAACTAAATCTACAACAGCAACACCAAAGGTAAAAGCCTATTCTTTCCTTCACCACAGTCCTTAGATTGTCCTTAGGTTACCTGGTCTGGAATATTTTTGTTACGCTGTGGAGAAGTTTTTTTTTTTTTTTTTCTAGCGATGAGTTTAAGCACCGCAGGCGCGCTGCCGACGTTCCCACAAACCCACGTGAGCCTAAGAGACTGACGCGGGCTCGGAGAAGCCGCGAAGGCCAAACTCCCTAGATACGTCTAATACTAGAACCCCACGGATCTGTCGAAAAAATATTTGGACGATGTGAAACGCCACCTATACCTGAGACATCGGGGTCATTCTAAAGCAAGTGAACGCTACGTAAAAAATGTTGCATCTGATAAAAAAAAAAAAACAATCTGAAGATTTTTTTACTTTTTTACTCCTACAGCGGTTATCGCCGCTTGTGGTGACAATACGTAGTACGGAAAAACAAAAACAAAGTTAAGACCACTACTATTACCATCAGTAGACGGAAATTCCATTACAATGTATTTTGCCGAAGTCATTTCGGAATAGGGGGGGGGGGGGGGGGGGGGGGAGGGAGGGGTTTGAAATTAAAATTCACTTTATCGCCTGCCCCTTGTACGATACAAAAAAATAGCATGCATTCAAAATAACTGCCTGTTCTAACCTCACGCATTCCGAGCAGACATTCCCTCTCGCCGTCCACAGTCTGCGCCACATTTCCAGCAGGACGTCGATATTGAATATATAACCAAATTAGACAGTCATCGCAACGTACCGTCCCATGATACGAGTCGGGCATTTCCTTGCTCCACCAAACACATCTGAACAATTGCGCGTACCCTCTTCAGCTTGGGCTTCCTGAGGTCATCCTTGAGGTCGACAACGTAGACGCGGTCGCTGTTCAAAGCTGGGAGGATCAGCTTGTCCCTGTGCTTGTTGGGACAGCCCAGGCAGCTGCTGCACGTGTTCCAGTTCATATGGTGAAGCTCGTCGCCTTTGTGAGGCATCGGCAGCCGGTAGATGACCTGCAACATGAAGCATCTTCGGTGAATCTAGAGGCGCTCCTTGGAGGTTTCTGAACTATGGAACGCATCAAAGAAATACTCAAGTAGCCGTTTCAATTGGAATGTTTAGTTCTTCCGTACCATCAGACAACTTTGGAGACCAAGCCTTGAATTCTAAGCTTTAAAATAGGAAGATTTACACAAGGCCATATTGGCAAGTATTTTAAAGGTGCGACCATTGATACAAGCTCAAATGGACAGGCTTATTAATAAAGCTAACAAACCAAGATGATCAAAAATGCATTTTACAATCACTCATGAAAATTCGTAGCAGGCTTAACATCAGTCACAGAGGGTGTAACATGTAAACGCAAAAACACTGTTTCTGGCAGTAACAGTGACGAAAAGTATCATTCGAGGCCTAATGGACTGAACTGTATAGTCGTAAACCTACTCAAATCTGAAGCGTGCAAAAGCCCGAGGATTTTTCTATAAAAATATAAACCGGCGAGATTTTCTTTTTCTTTTTTTTAAACCAGTCGGCAATGTTGCGTCAGGAGTATACGTGCGCAAGCACATTGTTGAAAAAAAGAACTGCAGCCTTTGGGACAGATTCAGGACCAAAGCAGTGCACCAGAAATAACAAAATATTTCTAAAAACAGTGAAATTAGAAGCCTGCTAAGTTTCCAAAAGTGGATAACTATTGCTGTTAGCGGCGTAGTAAACCTTCTAAAGACTGCGGATGAGCCATACCTTGCAGCAGTCTGAGCCTTTCGGTTCCACAGAAATGACGGCTAGGTAGTCTGGCCTATCTTTGGATGGTACGATGCAGGGAACGTAGAGTAGTTTCTCCCTTGGGCTCTTGGTCATGGCATCCAGCGGCGTCGGGTAACCGACGGGGCATTCTTTCTCGAAGTCTGAAAGAGGAGAACAGTTGCACTCAGAAACTGTGAAGTAAAACGCCAATGCCTGTAGTGGGGTGCATATAACACGAAAGATCGGCTGAATTGTGTTACGCTTACGTATGTTTAAACAGCGGAAAGCTAGCCATGACGTGACGGAATTCCAACGGAGCTTCACAGCGGCAATTTTGAAATCTCTTAATTTGTTTTAAAACTAGTTTTCTTGACTTCCCTGTCTGCAGCCCAGAAACTCTAGTCAAGGATAGTATTTCTGGGCGGCCGGCACAACATGGACCATATCTAAACAAAGAAATAAAAGTGAAAACATTTCGTTTCTGTACCCCTTGGAACTCAGTCGCTGAACGCACCAGATATAATATGGACTTACCTCCCATAGCTACCTTCCAGCTGTCCTTCCGGAGGCAGTCAAATACAGCCGTCGAGAATCACAAGTGCGTCCGGCATAAGCTATCGGCGGCAACTACCGGAGTTCTGAGAAAGGGTCGTCTAGTCAAGCGATAATACGTAGGCGGCAAGCGGTAATCACAAAGGCCTAACCATATGGGACGTTTTTCACGCGCTTCCTCCGTGTCAGCGTCTCCTCACGTGAGCGCGCGGCGCTCGTGCCGATATCTGTCCCGGCCAGATTTCGACGTTGTGTCGTGCGTCGCATGTGACCTTGAGCGACGCGCGCCGAAGGTGACGTGGGCGAGGCGCGTTAAAATAAGCTCCCCAGGCTCAATCAATCAATCAATCAATTTCTTTTTCTTTCGCAGAGAAAGATGGTTTCTGGGGCAAAAAGCTGCAACAAATGCATCTTGACAAGGCCCCAGCTCCAAGATGGCGGTTCGCGTACAGCACTTATCTAAGACAGTGAAATATTTTTTTCTACTTAACCTTATGTATATATCTTATGTATAATATCTTAATATTAGGTATAATCTTTATATATATATATATATATAGAGAGAGAGAGAGAGAGAGAGAGAGAATACATTTTATAAGGTAGATAATATGAACATGAAGTCATCAAATGGTCAATTATGGCTGAAATTTTTATGATTCAGCGTGTTTAATAAAGATGGTACACTTTCTTTTAACCTGAAGTCCAGAGGCACCCGACGCTAAGACCTGAAGGGACCAATCAGACAGCGTCAAAACCGCACCATCATGGTGTTCCTAATGTTTCTGTACCTGTTCTTTTATCGCTGAACCAATCATAAACAGAAAAGGCCCAGGGACTTGAGCTTTTGACGTTGCTTGATTGGTCCCATTGCCTCGTAGCGTCCGTTGTGTCTGGTCTTGAGCTGAAACGAAATATAGAATGAATTTGATGGATGCGACACCATTGTGCGGGCGGAGGGGAAGGTACATATGTCACTCTTCGCAAAGCCGTGTGTGGCATGTAGATGGTGTTTTTAGTTAAGTTTGATCTTGAGGGGGGAGAAAAAGCAGCTGGGTTATTTTTAGTGCCGTTTTAGACGACAAGAGGAGCCAGTAATAATATAAATTCGTAGCTTTAACAATCTTAAATTGAGCAAAACAGAGCATCTGTGTGATAAAAGTATGACACATTTGCGACCAGTCTTTGTGTTGCTGTTTTTTGTTTTGTTTGCAGAGTAAGAATATTGTTTCTATTTTGCAGGTATCACCCCATACGAGGTGAAAACACAAAAAACTATGATTGCACAAGACCATTGATAATTATTACCTTGAATGATGGGGTGAAAATTGTGCGGTATCTGCACAATGTACCAACAGCCGTTCTCGCTTTTTTATGAACATAGTCAACGTGCTCATTCCATGATAAGTTGACTAAAAAAATAACACGTAATATCTTGAAGGGCTTTACTACCACAATTCCACCACCCCACCCCCCCTCTCCCCCTAAAGTTATATTTAGGTTAGATTAAATTACAATGCTTTTAGCCCGGAATAGCATGAATTTTGTTTTGCGTTAATTCGTAATCTATTTATTTCTGTCCATAGGTGTAGTTGAGAGAGCATACGATTCTCCGTTTTTTCAATCTCGTCAGATGTATTACCTTTGAAAAATAATGTACAGTAATCGGCATACGTAATAACTGAACAGTCGGGAATACAATTACTATATCATTAGTAGAAAGAAGAAATAATAAGGGAGGTTCACATGTAATTATTGTTCCCTGAGGGTCACATGCAATTATTGTTCTTGTGAATGATACTGAATCATTGATTTGAACAAATTGTTTTTGCTCAGACAGGTATGATATAAATAGATTGAGTGCATGACCCCGTATACCGTAACATTATAGTTTATTTTAAATAATTTTGTGATTTACCAGGTTAAATATCTTAGAAACATTTGCGTGTATCGCTAATGTCAACAACTCGTTTTCGATATTAATGATTACTTCTTTCTGGGACAGTAGAGCGGATTCAGTAGATCTTCCTTTTCTGAAACCGTGCTGGCAGTCCGTTAATAAAAAGAAACGCTCCAAATATGCCGACAGTTTGCCATAAAGTATTTTCTCGATGCCGTTAGAAAAATTAGATAGCATTGATATTGGCCTATAGTTTCCTAACAAGTTAATATCGCCACCCTTAAATATCAAAAGGACCTGAGCAATTTGCATAGGTATAGGAAATTCACCCAAAGACATCGAAAGATTGAATATGAACGTTAATGCTTCAGCAAACAAGCGCATAACAAATTTAATTAGTTCTATATTCAGGTCATTTACATCTTCTTTGCTATTATTTATGCTTCGAAAAAAACTATATTGCTTAATTTTAATCAGCTGGACTTAGGAAAAAAATAGCCACATGGGTCTTCTTTGCTACACTCGAACTGCTGTTGACTAGGTTGAGCAAGTAGTCATTGAAAGTATATGCAAGTGACGTACCAGACAGCTTTTCTCCACAGTGTCGAATTTCAGTTAACATGGCCTTGTTTTTGTATAGCGGCCAGGCATGGTTAATACTTTTCCATAATTTATCTAGATTATTTTCCTGAATATTATTAAACAGTTTTGTGTTATATTCAAGTTTAGCTTTTTTCATCAACGCGTTTCTGCAGACATACAGAAACAAGTTTGTTTCTGTATGCCTTAATATTTGACAGATCTTCGCTATCTTCAGATTGAACAAATTTATGACACAATTTTTTTTTTTTTAACAGGTTATGTGAAACTTAAGGTTCTTTAGACCTCTTGCCAGACTTGATGAACGTGTACGGAAAAATTTTACTATAAATTTCGTGGAATGTCCCCAGAACTGTATCGTATGCTGCATCAGCTGAATCACTAGCGTATATTGTGCTCCAATTAGTGGTTTCGATGGAGATCCTCAATTACGCAGTCTTCGTGGTATAATAGTGCGTACCGCGAAAGCTCTCCCATATTTTTTTTTTTTTTTGAGGTTGAGTTGAGAAGTGTGGGTTAGTAGGAGAAAGGTGGGTGAGTGGTATCTAATATCACGGCTAATTACGCGGGAAGCAAAAATATCTTCCTGGGCACCATTTTTGACAAAGTAATCTAAAAAAAGTGGAGGCCCAGTCTGTTATCCTTGTAGCTCCCGTAGTAGCGCATTCAAAACCATGCGTTTCGATAATAGAAAAATTGCTCATCGCGCATATCTGATGTTTTAACAAGTGCATGTTATAATCTCCTCCCCTTTCCCTCCCCCCCCCCCCCCCCCAAAAAAAAAGAGTATAGCCAATCTCGCTAACATAACTGAGCAACCTATCACGTACAAAGAGCATGCCACTGACATTTCCAGATGGAGGTTGGTATAGAAGACAACAAACATAGTTACCGCAGAGTACTAACAATAATTCAAAAGACTCGTTCAGTTCTGCAAAATCTGGAAGAACACAACAATAGAGAGACTGATTAACAACCATAAAAACCGGCTCCCCCCCCCCCCTCCTCCTCATATTTCTTCATAAAACAAATGCTTGTAATTAGGCAAAACAAAGCCATTTGAGTCAGAAGTTACCATGTTTCATAAAACATGAAAATATTAAAAGAAAAACGGAAAGCAACGTGAAGAATTTCAATAGCATCAACTTTTGATAGCATAAAGCGGACGTTCATGTGAAGGAAGGACAATGCAGATCGCCCTTGGCATTCATGAGTTCTTCAGGCTTGAGACATAAATTAGTCAACAGATTACTTTCCATAAAAAGAAAAGTGGCCCTGCTCTTTATTTTTGTTTAGAGCGCAACGCAACGGCCGTTTCCGCGTGACAGTGATGGCGCCGTGGCCGCAGTGGAAGACTAAGAAGATTACGAGAAGGACGAGATGGGGAGCATGCGACCGAGCGGGCGATTGGAAGCTGAGCACAGATCGCACTGGTCGGCCTGCAGATCGCTGAACATCTGCCACGGTCAGCGATGCGCCGAGTCCAGCGGTCTGGTCGACGGAACCCTCGCCGGACTCCGACACGTGGGGCTGCCATGCACAGTTCCTAGCGAAGCCTGCGCTACGACCTCCAACCATCGAGGCGAAGGCAACCTCCTTCATGAGGACACGCCACGGAGGACTCGTGAGCCGAGCTTCACCTCATCTGTCTATGACCTGACCGAACATTAATCAGTGCTGAGACACGTGCTGGGATTTCTTTATTGTACGTTCTCTTCCACTAATTCTTGTTATTTTCCGACGGTTAACCATTTTGTTTTCTCATATTAATTTTTCAGTTTCTTTATATAACTTATTTCTCATTCCCGGAATTCACATGGTCTTTGTTTCCCTCGTTCTTCAACGGGCGAGACTTGAGACATGAAGTCGTTCGAGATCTCGAAGTTAGAGCTTAGCAGACGATAAGTTAGAAGGCATTTACTGCGAGTATTCACATCGTTTCGTGCGTTTTTACAGAGTACTCCTGGTGCAAGCTTTTGCTTTGACCTACAGTAAGGGCTTCTTTGACGAACTAAAATCTCGGAACGTGTCGTTCATTTGTTGAACGTGCCATTTATTTAGCAAGTGAATCAAGCGACGCCGGCACAGTCGGTATAGCTCCAACACATTTGATTTTTTTTTTTAATCGGCGCTCGAACGCTTGAGAGATGCCGATTCAATTTCCAAACCCCTTATATAATGATCGCTGCATATCATAAAATATTCGCCTTCGAGCACCGCGTAGAAGCTTCGATATTCCTACATTTGTGTGTTTCTCCCATAGATTCGCGTGCACTGCCTGGTGTCAAGCTATGGCCGCCGGTGCTGCCATCGACGGGCTCCCGATCCGCGATCCAGCCTACTACAATATAGATCGATGGTCCCATAAGTCCCTTCCCTGGCTACGCCATTGCCTTGAGTCGATCTTTGTTCTTTTGCATTTTTTTGCGCTGCCGTATTCTTGATTGCTCAAGGTTCCCGCTCTCTGGTCCGAGTAGTCCCGGCATGGCTACAGTGTACTGGAATAGGGGTAGTGTTTGGACCGGCGCGACTCGACGATGGGAACTTGTGATGCTGCGCGTGTAGACAACAATCGCGGCGCTGCAGTCGACAGGGCAGCAGAAAGTCGCTGCAGTCCGCACGTGCCTCCGCACATGCCATCGCACGTGCGCGTGAACGCGGTGCACGCGCACAACCACCACCATACTGCCCTTACTGTTGATGCGCCGTCTCAC